GGCGAAACGTCTGGGAATGTACCACATCCACGGTCCTACTCTGGAAACGATGATGCATACAATGGACTCCTCTAAGTCTTCCTACCAACATGACCAAGTTGCGAAAACACGGTCAAACAACTTCTATTTCCGCGACTGTTCGTAATCCGACTCAATCATTCATCTTCAACTTAGTCTGCGCCAAGTCGGCTCTTATCAGAGTTTCAACTAATATTAGTTTTTTATTTTTATTATCTACTCACCAAGATACTCACGGCTAGAGCTCGAAATATATTGGGGTCGGGAGTTCAGCCCGGTCGAAGGGAGATTAAATGACCTGTGAGGTGGCAGGATCAATTGGAATGGACTTTCTCTTCTAATTGTAGGAACAACTCAACCATCAATCCTTAAATCAGTCTGTAAAAGTCGGCTAAGCAACTTTCAATTAGAGTTTAATTATTGTTATCTGCTGAAACTATTAGAGGAGCAGTTAGTAAAAGTACAACTGACGTATTTCCGCGAATGTCCGTAATCCAACTCAACCAGTCGTTTTCAACTCAGCCAATTCGTCGGACTAATCTTTTACCAATGTTCTGCATCATTATTAGAGTTTTTCTTTTCATTAGCTACTGAAAATGGGAAATAAGTAGTTACTTCAAATGCCAGTGCAGTATTTCACAGTCTGTCCGTAATTCGACTCCACCATTCGTCTTCAACATAGTCTGCGCCCAGTTGGCTGACTAAACAATTATCAGGGTTTTAACTAATGTTAGTTTTCATTACTATTATCTACTCAAACCATTAAAAAAGTAGCAGCTTCAAGTACAAATCGAGTATTTCCGGGACTGTTCGTGGTCCAACTCAATCATTCATCGTCAACTTAGTCTTATCAGAGTTTTAACTGTTATTAAATTTCTAGCTTTATTATCTACAGAAACGGCTGGAAAATACCTTAAATACGTGTGAAGCATTTCCGGCACTTTCAGTCAGCCAACTCAACCATTCGACTTCAAATCAGTCTGAGCTGACGAAGCTCGTGTTCAAAATGCTTTAACCCGAAATTGGCCACGTCAAAGTGGACTGTAGTCTGAGGCATGCTGTAATTGATCGCGAAAACCATTAAGCCTGTACAAGCAATGTCAGTTATTTTATGATAGAGAAAGACAGACGACATTTGTGCTAGACGGAAGTTGTTTGTTGATTCGAGTTGGCCAGTCGCAACAGTATATAGTCCCCGCAATTTGGTAATGCTTGTATGTATGCATGTAGTTGTGTGCTTTGGCGTGCGCGTGCTGCGTGAATTAGACTGTGGCCCTATCGAGTACGATTAGTCGAGACATCTGGCCTAATCTCCGATCGATAGGCTGAACCAAACTGACCTACATGCCGTGGGAAAAGGCTGCTACTTTATTTATGTGTGTGTGTGTGTGTGTGTTAGTGGGTGTGCATGGATGCATTTGCTGGAGGCAAATCGAGACGAGGCATGGCCGAAAATGAGGTAAGATCGGCATTTAAATCGCTCAAATGTGGTCAAAAGGCGGGGCCTGGCCTGGCCTGGTCTGGCATTTCGGCATCAGCGCGGCAGTATCGATCGTTCCAACGTCACGCCAGCAGGTCATGGCGTGCTGGCGTGATGGGCTTGTGCCTCAGCGCGTGAGGTGTGCAGTGGGCCTACCTGTGCTCTGGTGCTGTTCGCGTACTGATCGATGAAGAACACAGCGGGACAGATGACGGTGATGTCGCCGCTCACGCGATTCAGACCTTCAGCGACGTCGCCGGCTCGCCAAAAGTGGTCGTTGAGGCTGCGGCTGGGGATCTGAAGAAGGGAGAATGAGAGACAGGTGAACCGCGAAATGTACTCATCCCTTCCAAGCCGGACTAGCACGAATGCCAATGTACAAGATGCCGCCTGTCTGCACTTGCAACGAGCCTCCGTCAACTTGGGGCTTGGATCACGACTCGATCGACCCTTTCGGTTAGTCGCACATGAGTTTTATTCGTTTAAAGTGGTTGGGGGATTGACAGTTGAATTTTAGCACAATTCCTAAATGCCTACTTATAAATGGAAATAAGTAGTGTGGTCACTTGCTATGGCGAATACAAGTTTGCTGCCACGGTAATCGCACCAGAGAATGTGTTATGCGAAAACGCCTGTTCCGCCCGGCAATGCACATCTGCCAAGTCACCAAGGGCGGTCGTGGCGATGTTGGTTAGTGGCTGACATGTCGAGGTTATGGGCTAAACAGCACCACAAAGCGAGTTCGACGCCCTCTGGCGGGGCTGACGAGACCGGCTGAGGCAAAGTCAAAACTGCAGCCCAGTTCCGGTTGGATGAGAATGCCGTTTTGGAAGGCGAAATTAAATGGAGACGTGAGGCCAACTCAACTGATTGTGGAAAAGATCAACTATCAGTTCGTGACGAGCGAGGTGAACAGGGCTCTTAGGAAAGGGGAAAATGGTGTGTGCTTTTGTGGCCGCGTTTATGCTGACGCCGAGTGAG